CGAGCACCACTGCTTCCAGTTTACCGGTCAAAATGTTGAATCTGGGAATGAAGAACAGATTATCTCCAAATACCTGATCCGTAGCACAGATTCAGTTTTTGCATTTGGCTCAAGTACAGGAACAACAAAAAATATCCATATGTTACCATGAACTGCAATATGAAAAATTTAAATAAGACAATTTTGGAAAAGCATAAAGTACCGTAGTGTGAATCATCAGCCAAACAGACTGAACAAACACTAGACCAAATGTTTATTAGGCTGCAGAAAATGTCATGCATTCTCAAAACCTGTTATGCATGATGGCATCTATATAATCTGGTTATCTACTACTAAGTCACATATTATTTTGCGAAAATCAAAATCAGATGTCAATAAACTCTTAATAAATTAAATTACTTCTATTGTGTTTGATATGATTAAAATGTACTGATAGGCATTAATGGTAAACTAAAATGTACTTTTATGTCATTTCTATTAAAGCTTGCATGCTATGTAAATATAATTGTCGTTGCACATTTGTAAAGCTGAAATTTTGTACATTTAAAATGTTAACTTCAAATGCAATATCAAACAACTCTACAACTATAATCAATGCTTAACATGTGCTGTTATATCAAAATAAGTGCAATTCTCTAAAGCATGACAAGTGATAAAACATGATTTATAATGTACTTTAAAACTTACATAGATAACAATTTAAGATGGTCAGTACTGCATACAAAGCTATTATATGCACTAACGGTAAACACATAAGCAAACAAACATGATATTACCAGGCCCTTAGTATGTCAGTACAGGAGTGTTTTAAACACACGCACCCTTTGGCAAGATTCTCGATTCCATAATACTCCTCGGTTGGCTGATTACAGGCTTTGTACACTTTATTACAGCCCAGTTCATCAGAGCCATCCCCGCAGTCATCATCAGCGTTACAGCGCAGAGCCTCCAGCACACAGCGACCTGTTACACCACACACAGCCCTTTCTTTACATTGCTTCAGTTCCAGTAATACTTTGACTGCTTTGGCTGAATTTCTAATGAAATGATCCACTGAAATCAATCTAATGAAATGATTCTACTGTGTTTTAAATGATGGGATGCTCTTCCGGTTTGGGGAAGTTCCACACAAAAAGTAATTTCACTGAGAAAAAAATAATTATTCATTGAATTTACTAAACTTTTTTAAGGTAAGTGGTTGCAACCAATTTATTTTAGCTACATTTAAATAAACAAATTTAGTTGACTAGCTTTCAACATATTTTTTTATTAAATGTGGCTCAAATAAATGGTCTGCAACCACTTAGCTACCTTAATAAAAATTAAGTATAATTTTTTTCAGCGTTCAATGTAGCTCTAAAAATAAGTCTGATCCCTCAATTTGACTGAATGAGCTGTACATTTCCTTTATATTCTATTTTCAGTTGTGGGAGAAAAAATTCCCGTTATTCATGGTATGTTGAAAACAATAGATTCATCTTTTTACATTTTTAAACTCAATTTTAAAGTTTGATGGTTGAAGGGTGAATCGAATAATGTCACCTTATTGTCCCAGTTTTTGAAAATGCTTATTGCCCTCATACAGCGAACACTGTAAAAAAAAATTCTGGAAAATTTACGGTAAAAAACAGCAGCTGTGGTTGCCAGAATTTTACCGTGAAAAAATACGGTAGCAACATTTTAGGTTTTACTGTTTTAACCTAAATTTACAGTTAATACCGTAATTTCATTAACTGATATAATGTTAATAAACCAACCTATTGAAGTACTGAACTCTGTTTTGTAGCTTTGTAATACACTGATAACCACCAAATGCAGGAGGTGATGAGAAAGTCACATGATGAACCAAAGCCCATCACAAGCAGCTTTTAAATAATAACATATATAGAAGGTGCACAGTGTGTCATTCACACAAACACTAAACACCATCACGGTAACACACATGAGACTGAAATAATGCAATAAACATTCATTTAACAACATTAGGTGAAACACACAACCCTAATATACAAAACTGATAAGAAAAAACTAAGAAGAAACAGTTATTTCAACAAAAAAACATCAAATTTGAAATGTAACGCAGGGAATTCTGGGAATGTCAATTTACGGTTATTCACTGTAAATTATACGGTCTTTTTCACTTTCAAAAACGGTATATTATCGTAAAATTACTTGTAATGTCCAACACAGTTTTTCACCGTATATAGTAGGGGAACTTACCGTTAACCAATTAACAGGTTTCTACTGTAACATTTTAACAGTTTTTTAACGTTAAATTCACGGTCATTTTTTATAGTGAACCTTTCACTTATTGTTTACGGAAGTTACTCTCATAATTCGCGCAAAGCATCATGGGGTGCAGGAAAAAGGTGGATATGTTATAATTTTGCCTTCATACATTTGTTTTCAAATACTTGAACTAAATGCACAGTTAATATATGGGATTTTGAAATGTAATTATTTTTGTTGGAGATGCTCAGGGACTATTGGTGATGTGAGGATGACCTGTGACAGTGCAGCGAAAGCCCTGGCATGGAGGAGTGGGTCTCTGGCAGGAGTATCGCGATGCAGCGGTGCAGGCTTCCTCCTCTCGGCCCTGATCATGACACGGATCTCCTCCAAACTCAGACGGCTGGACCAGCGTGGCATAGCGGTACTGAAGAGACACACAACAAGTGTGTGAGACTCAACTCGCACATTTAGAAAAACATGATTATAAAGACACAGTCACGTGAAGTTGAATGTATGTGCTATGCTGTAAAGATTAAATGTGAGCCTGGAGCACAAAAGCAGTGTTAAGTCACTGGGGGATATTTGTAGCAATAGCCAACAATACATTGTATGGGTCACAATTATACATTTTTCTTTTATGCCAAAAATCATTAGGATGTTCAGTAAAGATCATGTTCCTTGAAGATATTTTGTAAATTTCCTACCGTAAATATATCAAAACTTAATTTTTGATTAGTAATATGCATTGCTAAGAACTTCATTTGGACAACTTTAAAGATGGTTTTCTCAATATTTTGATTTTTTTGCACCCTCAGATTCCAGATTTTCAGATTTTCAGCCAAATATTGTCCGATCCTAACAAACCATACATCAATGGAAAGCTTATTTATTCATCTTTCAGATGATGTATAAACCTCAATTTAAAAAAATTGTCCCTTATGACTGGTTTTGTGCTCCAGGGTCACAAATGTTTAATTTAAAGATTAAAAAAGAAGCATGTTATCAACATTCTTAATAAACATTCTATATAAAGGTGTAAATGAGCAGACAGACAGCTAGACAATATAACCCCACTCTCACCCTCTTCTTAAGACAGGGGTCACAGCGTGTCCATGAGGACCATTCAGACTGTGAACAGTCCACTGGATCTTTAGGCGGTTGTTCAGCGGTCCTGTCTTCTGAACGACAAAGCACTACAGCACTGTTGGAAGCAGATTTATGCTGTTTGTGAACGCAGTATGTAAGGGAATTTATAACAAACTGCAGAATTCAGATTCAGGCCCTTATAATAGTTTACATTGCACAGAAGGTATTTGGATACTTTGGGAGACTTAAAGCACGTCACACTTGAAAAAATGTCTGAATTTAATTGCATTAAAACAAAAAAAATCAAACCCGGTGGCATCTGATGCATCTGAGCTTTTATGAAAACTAACTTCACTTTTCATAGATCATTTTTTGTTTTATTTTACTGTATTGTTGCTTTTATTTTATGAACAATACATTCTATATTACATTATTTGGTTTTCATCACATTAACAGTAAACATGTTCTGAAGAGTTTAACAACCAAAGTGTTTGATCAACTATTCAATACATTGTCTACACTATATGTATTGCTTCATATTTGGAAAACCTACCATTTTGTGAAATATTTTGACTGAAAAGGATGTTAGTGCAATATTCCGTAAAAATGAATGGCACTTTTTACATTTTTAATTGTGGCTTTAAAAATGTCACAGCATACTGATAAAAACCTTGAGGAACAATAGATTACATTTATATATACTGTATATAAACATATATGTATACATATTGTATATATGGTTTTTTTTGCCTGAAATGTTGGTATTTTATAATAACAGATTCTTTTAAATTTGTTTATTAATAACAGATTGACCAGTTTACTTATAGACCACTAAACTAAAATCGCACAGCTGAATTCTAGTAGTTCAATTAAAAAGTGAAGCAATCAAAACCGAACATTTATTTAAAACACTGGAAACCAATAAAACGCACTGCACCTTCATGCTCATAAAGTAACATATTCCAACTTACCATATAATGCAGAGACAAAGTACTGCTTTGCTGCAGGCTGAATTTGCTCGTAGAAAACTGTGCATTATAACGTCAGGGAAACCTAGAGCATAGTAGACTAGATAACACAGTATTAGACCTTAAACCCTTAACCTACCCAGCAAGCCCTCCTCTCATCTGTGACTACAGTCTTATACATTCACTTTCAGAAATAACAGATGATGCTGCAGTTCAACTGTGTACATGTGAAATATGAAATACTTGTAGAGAGCATTTCATTTTTGATACTAGCAAACGTTTTGCAATAAAAACTGCAACATACAGTTGAAATACTATTTTGAGCCTTTAAATAATTAACATTTTAAAAGCAGAACGTAATGTATTTTGGAATATTTGTCTTTCATGAAGCCTAAAGGCATGTGTTTGGAGTCTGTATTTCTCGTAAGTAGGTCACAAAAAAATCAATGAAAATGTTTGTTTTGAGTTGCATGCCTATTTTAAATTTTTCCTTTTTAAATAATCATGTCATAGTAAAAAAAATTCTAAAAGAGAATGTCTGTCATCATGTCAGTTTTTAAAAGAAAAGGGGAAAAAATCTGTGCAGATGGTCATTAAAAGTTTATTCAATGACATTCAATCAAATTCCTTCCAAGAAAAAGAAAAGCAATGATTTTAACCAAAGTTTTTGGCTTCTCCAAATGTAGAATGAACTACACAGCTTCACAGTTGATCTTGTCCATTAGAAATGACAACAGAAATCAATCCCCAAGTCCATTAAATGCCCATCACAGTTAAACTTTAATTTCACTGGTCCAATTTCTCATACTGCGATGGTTTATTATTATTTTACAAAAATATTTCATTTCTGAAATAGTTTAGATAGTGGCTTCAGGTAGACAGCCAATTTTCAAGTCCATCGCAGACTAAAGGTGCACTTCATTTATTAAAATAGATTTTATTTTCTATCAGTTATTAGAGTTTGTAAAATGTCCCACAGAGCTCACACAGCTTTAGGTCCCATCTGTATCACTGTGATTTCTGGATTCTCTCAGTGCTCTTCTGTATGTTGAGGCTTATTCTTCCTAAGGATGAAATCATAAATACAGCTCATACATAAAGTTGAGAAATACTGAATTTCATGGACATGAGATAAAAGTGTGATGTCTGTCATAAGCCTAAATCATTAGCAACATCCGCCAGTTTTTCAGTAAATTACAGTAAAGTTTTTCCGCCAAGCTTCAGTAAATTACTGAGCAATGAGAACTCGATTTTGTCAAAAGATGTTAGTTTATTTATGCATTACCAAATTAATATGAGCTCAGCATTCGCCATTTTATGATATCACAACCCAAAATGTTTCTGAACACCTCCTGAACTGTAGGTCTATGAGACCGAACGATGACTGTCAATATGGTCTTACCGCAGCAGGTACCATTCTGCTATCGTCAATAATAAATATAAACAAAGTCAGATGATTAACTTTAAAGGAGACATATTATGCCCCTTTTTACAATATATAATATAAGTCTCTGGTGTCCCCAGAATGTGTCTGTGAAGTTTCAACTCAAAATTCTCCACAGATAATTTATTATATCATTTTGAAAATGCCTATTTTGAGTTTTTCGGGCCTGTCTCTTTAAATGCAAATGAGCTGCTGCTCCCCGCCCCCTTTTCCAGAATAGAGCTGCGCCATTACAGCTCGTACCTGCTAAAAACATCTGTTTTGGTTCTGATTATCATGTTTATCACGCTGATGTGTTTTAAACCATATGAGTTTAAACTTCTGATCTACGGTTTTCTGAGCGCACACATCCGAAGCACACGCACAGAAAGCGGCTGTCACAGCATGTGAGCACTAAACTATGTTCTCATTCACACACAAGTTTACGTTAAAAACACACATGAGTTACAAAAACAGTCGGTTATGTCTGTGAAGGTAAACAGCTGGGAAATAAATCTTATGTTTATTTTAGATCTGTGTGGCAGCAGCAATATACAGTAATTAAATCAATAAATCCACTGCTCTGTCGTCTCCTCTGAGGCTGGTACTCTAAATAGTGTTCTGTTCTCGTCTGTGCAGCCAAAGACAGAACATTAGCATGTTTTCCTCAAACTTTCACCATGGCATTAGAGCTGGTACACCGTTGTCGCTTGTGAAAACACAATGACGGTGCTGTGGGTGTATTACATTTACAGATTAAGGGGTGGTAATATTATAATGAGACCCCTTTGCCACGTCACCAAGTGAGCGAAATCAGATGCGCTCGTTTTCTCAGACGCTTGCAGAAAAAGGCTTACCAGAACAAAGTTACTGGGTTAATCTTTTTCACGTTTCCTTGGTTGGTAGATGCACCGGGGACCTGATTATAGCACTTCAAACCTGGAAAAGTCCGATTTTCATGATAAGTGCTGTGGGTGTATTACATTTACAGATTAAGAGGCGGTAATATTATAATGAGATCTTTGCCACGTCACCAAGTGAGCGAAATCAGATGCGCTCGTTTTCTCAGACGCTTGCAGAAAAAGGCTTACCAGAACAAAGTTACTGGGTTAATCTTTTTCACGTTTCCTTGATTAGTAGATGCACCGTGGACCTGATTATAGCACTTAAAAACTGAAAAAAAAAGTCAGATTTTCATGATATGTCACCTTTAAGGTTTTTTTCCCTGTATACAGCCAGATGAACCAACCACTTCCTCTTGCCTGGAACTCTCTGGGTGCTCTGGGTGACAAGTGATGGTTCTAGCTGGAGTATACGTATGCAATAGTATCTGCTATCCAATGTGACACATGCTGTTACAAAGCTGGTAATTTTTCTCATCAAAACACAGAAACAATTGAGTCGCAAAGGCTCAGTGTAGGTGTGTAGTGCTCAGACTGAGCACAAGGTGAGGGGATCAAATAAATTACTTGACCGATCGTATCAGGATTAAGTACCTTATGTAGAAAGGCCAGATTTGGCCAAAGGGAGACCCATGAAGAGGAGTTGGCTTTCCATATTAGTTTGTCCTCACTTACTGATAAAGAACATAATTCACCCACTCTTTTGGATACAGATAGCAAGAAGGAAACAAGGCTGAGAACAGGCTAAACCCAAAGTTGTATTGTGGTTGTGAATGGATACTAAATCTGGACTTCACCTTAGAGATGGTGTTAATGGCCATCAACAGCACTGTATCAGATGTAAGAGAAACGGGAACCAATGAGTGACAGTAGGGGTGTGGCTGAGTGGAGTCTGTAAAAGGCAATGAGTGTGGAGAAAATGGGTCAATTTTCTGATAACTAATAGCTGTTTCCAATCTTAGTAACAAGAGAATATAACCCAACGGGAGAACGGAGCAAGCCCAATTCAGTGTTCTGATCTGCTGAGACACTGATTTAATTGTGCCTTGTACAGTTTTTCCTTTGGGTTCAAAAAAGGAATGTAGAATTTCTTTCATCACCTCCGACCTCTCTGTCTCACAACTTAGACCAGGGTTCCTCAAATCTGGACCTGCGGGCCACTGCCCTGCATAGATTACCTCAAACCTTGATCAAATTCACTTACCTGTGATTTTCTAGGGATCCTGAAGACCATGAGGAGCTTGCTCAGGTGTGTTTGATTAAGGCTGGAGCTAAACACTGCAGGGCATTGGAAAGCTTTGAGGAATCCTGATTTAGACCTTGCTACAATGCTGTAACATGGGGAGATAGGTTCATTGCTATGGAGTCCTCACCCCTTGCTGAGATGGTTAAAATTGTACCCAGTCTCCACCAAACACAACAGGCACTTATAGACTTGAGGATGGAGCAATAAGAGCACTGTTGCCTGCTCCTAAGGGCCAGGAGGGCTGGGCTCCGGACACAGTGTTCATTGTTCCTCATGGGTCACTCACCAAGATGTGCCCACAGGATGAACCGGAGACATGCATGAACCTGTTTGAAGAGACGGCGGAGGCAAGTCGCTCCCTCTGGTCAAGCAGCAGCCCAAGAGCTACCTGTGCAGAACCTCCTGGCTTAAAGGGGTCATCGGATGCAAAATTCACTTTTACATGTTGTTTGAACTGAAATGTGTGTTGGCAGTGTGTGTACACAACCACCCTATAATGATAAAAATCCACCTAGTGCTTTTTTAAAAATCTCAATATATCCAAACCCCTTTCTCATATTGAGCCGATCTCAGATTCTTGGCAGAATGACGTAGTTCTACACAGGCCCCTCCCACGATTGTTGATTGACAGTGGCATCAGTCTTTGGTTTTATCACAGCTGAGTGAGCTGTCATCAGTCTGCCATTTTTTCGACGCCGGAGCGAGTGTAGACAAGAATGGCTCCTAAGTGATTGATGTGTTTTGTTGTTGAATGTAATAATGAACATAGCAGTCGTCATTTACTCCCGACATCTGAGCCGCTGAAGACGTTGTGGATTACTTTTGTTTTTGAAGGGAATGCTCCCCTGATCTACCTAAATGCGTCTATGTTGTGCGAATCATTTGTGATCCAGCTTCACCTACAAAAGTGAGTATAAGGGTTTTTTATGAATCTTTGCAAATCGCCTTTCATAATAATGTGCTAGTTAGCAAGTTTCACAATGAATGAGGCTAAAGTTTACCGTGTTTCAGAGAGCGGCTCGGAAAAGACAGGCGGGGTGAGCAGAGCTCATTTGCATTTAAAGTAACATGCAACAAAATGACTTGCTGTAAACAGAGCTGTTTTTGACAGGGTAAAGGGGCGTTGTTTTACACTACCATTTAGAAATGTTAACCAAACATCAAAAGATGTTATAGACTTTTCATTAAGACCCTAAAGAATTATATCAAACTGTGGAAAATGGGCATCCGATGACCCCTTTAAGACGACGTTAAGCAGGTCATCCTGCAGCAGATCAACCACACCCCGAGACGGCATTTCTAGCCAGTCAAGCTGGGGGACAGAAGTTAGCCATTTATAATGGCCTAGCAGCTCAATATCAAGGGAGCTATCAGTTTGGTGGTCCTGGAGCAGTTCATTGCTCAGTTTCCTAAAGGAATGGGACAAATGGCTGGAACCTCTATTACTTAGGGTGCGGTAGATCCTGCAAGCCTCCGATGGGTTTTCCCAACTTTGGGATTATTCCAGGTTTCACTGATGAATGATCTTTAGCAACAAGAACAGAGAAAGGAAAATAGGAGTTGGGAAACTCCAGCCTACACTTGTACTACTGCTGCAGTCGAAGTCTTAGCATGTGACATACAACATATGGTGTGATGTAGAATAGGTCCCAGTCTTGCTCCTGGAGGCCAGTGTCCTGCAGAGTTTAGCTCCAACCTGCCCCAACAGACTTACTGTACTTGGTAGTGTGTTTAATTAGGATTGAAGCTAAACTCTGCAAGAGAGTGGCCCTCCAGGAGCAGAACTGGAAACCCCTGATATACAATCTTGAAGAAGAAAGTCAGAAAGAGAGAAAACCAACCCAGAAGACATCTCTCTTTGGACAGCCAGCTGTGAAAAGTCTGGAAGGTTTATCTGAGCATCTGGTGGTATCTCATCAGTGTTGAGAGTCTGAGCACATGCCTCCTGTAAAACAGAGAATGGGATTATTGGTGAAAAACTGAAACAGACTTTAGCAATAGACAAATCACATCCAAACAGCTATGACACACAACCATTACCGAAGCTTCTGGCACATTGACTAAGCTGTCTTTTGCAGTCAGGAGCGATGGCTCTATTGAGGGGGCAGTTGCTGGGGACATGGTTTCCTGCTCCAGACCAGGAGTAACACCTGTGGAAAGGGAATCAAATGGATGGGAATGATGCTTGTCATATGATAACCCTCAATCTTTTGTCGTAGTGTTTTAAACTCACAAGAATCAGTTGGGGATGGTGATATTGACGACTCTGAAGTCAATCTCAACTGTGAAAGATCAAGCTCACCACAACAGTCCATTTCCTGTTTCCCAGAGGACTGTGCAACGTCATGTTTGCTTGTGTAAATGTGAACAGCTATTGTTTCCTCCTGGGGGTCCTTGTTTAGGGCGTCCTTAGATCCACTTTCCTGTAGGGTAGATTCTACACAGTGCTGAGGGCTCATTATGTTTGACGAAGTCTCGGGAGGTTCACAGGAGTGCGGGCGCATGGCAGCTATGGGAACCAGACCTTGAAGCACTGCGGCTGGAATCGGATGCGCCCCCATGCCAACTGTCTGGGCTGGTACAAACGCCCATTGCTGCTGGCCCGTGGCTGGAGAGTGGAAAAGATTAGCCTGACCCCAAATCACAGGCTGGCCTCCAGGGAGCATCTGGGCCACCTGCAATGGTCCCTGAACCCCGAAGACCATTGGAGCGGCTTGGGTAGCAAATGACCGTTGGGTCCAGTGAGCAGCCTGGATAGCACCCATGGTCGTATAGCCTGAGAAACGGCAAAACATGTTGAGAATAAGTTTTATTAATAGCATTCATTTTAAAAATGACGTAAAAATCAGAACTTTGATTAAAAGATAAACTCTCAGGCAGTTGCTGTGTGTTACCTGAGGGCACAGCCGGTGGGCTAAAATGAGTGAAGAGTTCGGGACGGTGCTGATGTCGCCTTCCTCCAGGATCCAGTGTGGTAGCAGGCGACGCTGGCATCTGTGATGACATGGATGTCATTTTGGATATGAGATTGTATACAATGGTATCAAAATAAAAATTAGAGATGCACCGTTTGACCGGACATAAATTGGACCCAGCTTCGGATGGTTTTTGTTTTTTTCAAATTGCTAAGGATATTTTTGGTTTAAGGCCAGTTCGGCCTGTAGTAGAGCAGATAATCAACAAATAAATTTGCTTTAAAACAATTATTGGATTCAGCCTTTTTGCATAAAAAAAATCAACAAACAGAATCAGCCACACACACACACACACACACACACTCACACAGCTATCCTTGTGGGGACTCTCCATAGGCGTAATGGTTTTTCTACTGTACAGACCGTATATTCTATTGCCCTTCACCAACCCTACTCCTAAACCTACCCCTTACAGGAAACTTTGTGCTATTTCAGATTTTCAATACACTCCATTCTGTATGATTTATAAGCTTTTGTACCCGTGGGGACCACAATTTAGGTCCCCACCGTGACACAAGTCTCCATGAGTCTGTGTGTAGTCAATTTTAAGTCCCCACCAGGTTATATAAACCAGTACACACACACTCACACACACACACACACACATACTTGTATTTGTGGTTTATGGGGACTCTCCATAGGTGTAATGGTTTTTATACTGTACAGACCGTATATTCTATTGCCCTACACCAACCCTACCCCTAAACCTACCCCTCACAGGAGACTGCTGGCAATTTTTCAATTTCATAAAACACTGTTTTGTATGTTTTTTAAGCCTTTTGTTTTATGGGGACACAGGACACACACACACACACACACTCACTCACTCGCTCACTCGCACACACAGGTACACTGTTTTATATATATATTGTATATATCTCAGGTCTTTTAAACTAAACCTAAGTTGGGTAATATTAAAATATGTAATTTAAATGGTTTGCATTAAAAGTGAGACTAAGCACATGGGTGATTGTTCATCTTGAGGTTTACTTACAGAAAGGATGTCTGGGGGGGTTGCCATGTCACCGAAAAGATCAAACTGGTTTATATTCTGCAAGACAGTCAGGGAGGAAGATTAAGGAGATATAATGCCATACTGGAAGACAACACAGATTATCTGAACAAGATCAGTGATAGTTTTTCTCAGTGTTCACTGAGCAAAGCAGCCAAATCACAGTGAAATACATTATTGATCATTCAGTGGACCTAACAATGAAATAATGCTTCAATAGACAGTACTTGGCTACTACACATGCTATAGTGGTTATCAGATGAAGACATAATGACATATCAATGACGCTAACAAGTGAAGGGAATCAGGCGACAAACATTAATAAAACAAAACAAAAGGTACAAGCAGTGACGTGGATGATAAGTAAAATATATGACCATTTATCCAGAACCCAATGCGTATGCAAAACAAAAAGAAAGCCAACACAACAGTCGTGTTCTATAGCAAATCTAACAAATCACACCATAAGACTCAGGTGTTCATAGATTCGGGCAAAATCAATGTTTGGCAGGTGTGAGCAAACATTGCAGCAGGGAGACTGATATTTATGTGAGTAAAGCTCCAAGCACTCGATAGGCTCCGACTGAATGAACAGACAAGCAATAACACTCTGTGAAATGGACTGATAACAATCATTTAACATGGATTCATTCTGGTGAATGCAATGCTGTGTTTTGACTTCTAGGTCTGTCTGGCATTTTTCAATAAATGCTGATCTTCAAGGTTTTTTTTTTTTTGATAGGTTGTTGTTATAAATAATAAGCTCTGGAAATTTTAGGTAGACATCACTCTGAAAATGTCCACCATAATGGTGTTTTCAAGCCAATCTTTATGTATTTTGGTTAAATAAATAAATAAATGTCCTTGTCATTAATGCATTGCAATAGTCGCATTAACTTTTTCTAAACCCATGCAGTACATTCATACTAGAGGTGAACTCCCACACCAAATCTCTGTTTGATTTCCCCCTCATTCATCTCCCTTGTATAATGTCACATAATACTGAAAGATTTATAACATGGACAACAACAAAGCAATACTTTCAGTACATTGATCGCTTTCAATTTGCTTTAGGATTCAAAAAACTTTACATTTTCTAAATCAAGACAGGGGAAGAACATTGAGAGGTTTGTTTGAGGGAAGGTTGGGCGAAGGTTCGAGACGTGAGAGAACCTACAGTCATAAATGGTTTTTGTTTTTTTCAAATTGCTAAGGATATTTTTGGTTTAAGGCCAGTTCGGCCTGTAGTAGAGCAGATAATCAACAAATAAATTTGCTTTAAAACAATTATTGGATTCAGCCTTTTTGCATAAAAAAAATCAACAAACAGAATCAGCCACACACACACACACACACACACACTCACACAGCTATCCTTGTGGGGACTCTCCATAGATTTTAGGTAGACATCACTCTGAAAATGTCCACCATAATGGTGTTTTCAAGCCAATCTTTATGTATTTTGGTTAAATAAATAAATAAATGTCCTTGTCATTAATGCATTGCAATAGTCGCATTAACTTTTTCTAAACCCATGCAGTACATTCATACTAGAGGTGAACTCCCACACCAAATCTCTGTTTGATTTCCCCCTCATTCATCTCCCTTGTATAATGTCACATAATACTGAAAGATTTATAACATGGACAACAACAAAGCAATACTTTCAGTACATTGATCGCTTTCAATTTGCTTTAGGATTCAAAAAACTTTACATTTTCTAAATCAAGACAGGGGAAGAACATTGAGAGGTTTGTTTGAGGGAAGGTTGGGCGAAGGTTCGAGACGTGAGAGAACCTACAGTCATAAGATGGTGATTTGGAACGTCATAGATCCCGTCTTTCTGCTGACTTGTGGGGACCTAAAAATTATAGCAAGTTAAGATCACAAGACTACTGCTATGCTTTAATAATGTGTGAGCCTGCAGCACAAAAGCAGTGTTAAGTCGCTGGGGGATATTTGTAGCAATAGCCAACAATACATTGTATGGGTCACAATTATACATTTCTCTTTTATGACAAAAATCATTAGGATATTAAGTAAAGATCATGTTCCATAAGTATATTTTGTAAATTTCCTACTGTATATATATAAAAACTTAATTTTTGATGAGTAATATGCATTGCTAAGAACTTCATTTGGACAACTTTAAAGATGATTTTCTCAATATTTAGATTTTTTTGCACCCTCAGATTCCAGATTTTCAAATAGTTGTATCTCGGCCAAATATTGTCCTCTCCTAACAAACCATACATCAATGGAAAGCTTATTTATTCAGCTTTCAGCTGATGTATAAATCTCAGTTTCGGAAAAATGGACCCTTATGACTGGTTTTGTGCTCCATGGTCACATATGTCATTCTATGTGCACTGCATGATAGATATATATATATATATATATGTTGTAGGTATTTATATCTGCTTGAGTATTTTTAAGCTCACAGAGAACTGCATGTTTAATTTGGGGAGATAATATTATAAGACAACTATTTTTAGATTGCACTTTCTTTCTGATATTGTAACTGTAGAGATGTGGGCGAAGAGGGGAGTGGCTTAAGCAAGTACCTGGTAAACGCTCTCCTCTGATTGGTGGCCACGGAGGGGCTCGTGTCCGGCTTCAAATACAATGTACTACAAGGAGTTGGGAAAGAAAATGAGAAGGGCCCCGTACGGAACAAATCAGACAGCGGCAACACTAAGAACATTCAATGCTGAATATTGTGTATCTTTATTTAGAACAGTGAGAACTCTAGATTGACCCTTTTTGTTTCCACGGGATAGAAAATCAGCAATGATATCTCATTCATTTCTCAGTTGTTTGTTGATTTAATGGAAAGTTAATTTTACTCTTAGGTTCGGTGCTTCTCACCAAAAAAAAAAGAGACCTCAGTTATCTCACAAAAGTGAGATATAATTTCAGAAGAGATGCTCAAGATGCCAAACCCTGCTATTAAAAGTCTCTGTATGAATCAATATTTCCTAAAATCAAATGATCAGAGATATGATTTTCAAATATACTGTATATTTGTGTCTCTATACTCTACTAATATGTATATTTTTACTTCTCAAAATTTGGGGAGCAAAATTTGCTGCTGTTCAAAGGTTTGGGGTCAGTAAGAATTTGAAAGTTTTTAATAAAGCATATTATGCTTATCAAGGTTGCATTTATTTGATTAAAAAAATACAGTAATATCAGTAACATTTGAGAAATATTATTAGAATTTAAAATAACAATTTCTATTGTAATACTTCTAAATGATAAAAAAATTTAAAAAGAACAGGATTTATTCAAAGTAGAAATATTTTGTGACAATATACAATACAATTTAAATGTTTGGGGTCAGAACATTTGTTTTTAAGAAATTAATACTTTTATATTTAACAAAGATATGTTAAATTGATGCTTTTTTAAGTAATAGTAAAGACTTATATTCTTACAAAACATTTATATTTTTAATAAATACTGTTCTTTTTAACCTTTTATTTATCAAATAATCCTGAGCAAACATCACAGGTTCCAAAAACATATTAAGCAGCACAACTGTTTCCAACACTATTAATAAATCAGCATATTAGAATGATTTCTGAAGGATCACGTGACAGTAATGATGCTGAAAATTCAGCTTTGCATCACAGAAATAAATTGCGTTTTAAAATTATGCAAATAGAAAACAGTTGTTTTAAATTGTTAGAATATTATGATTTTTACTGTATTTTGGATCAAATAAATGCAGCCTGGATAAGCACAAGACACTTAAAAAAAAAAAAATCATATTGATCCCAAAATTTGAACGGTAGTGTACATATGAGTATAAGCTGATACAGAGCTGAGAACTCCATTAATGCTGCCCACACATAATTTAAGCCCTGATCACAACAATTAACGGTGACAAAAGCCTGAAACTGCAGGCAAAGCATGGCCTGTTCACATCAGTAATTATTGCTAAGTGTGAATTTTCACAGATGCGATCTGTGAGAAGCGCCAATGCATTGCTTATGCCCAAGGTTAAATATCTAGACCTGTCTGTGATCCAAGTCCTGCGGTGTGAAATGAGTTTTGGCTGGAATTGACATTGCAATGACAGACTATTGTGTAAATGCGAAAAGAACAGCAATCCAACCACTTTTAAAGTCACATGGTCATATGGCCGGCATATGCCTCATGAGCTAGAAAATCTGATAATGTAATAAAAATTACATTTATAAGAATACAGTACTAAAATGACTATTTCAACAGATAAAAACATGTTTTTTACATCTCAAACTGGTCCAACAGCTTCAAAACTACTAAACCAAGCTACCTAACCGAGCTTCCATCATAGGGATTCTGGTTGGAGATGAATCTAGATGTGAAACTGATGGTTAAAGTTGTCTGTATTCAGTGTGAGCGAGAGAGCACTGGGTTCAACATATCAGAGAACATGCAGTACAGTAGGGCTGTTTATGACTCTCCAACGAAACATAATATAGACAGAACCACAAAACATGACTGCAGATCAGTACACTGGCAGTGACTGAACGCTTAACAGAAGTTCTGTGCACATCGACTGCAAAAAATATTTAATTGGAGGAGACTAAATGATCATAAAATCAAATGTCAGTTCTTCATAAAATCAGGTTAAGCTCACCTGATACACTGGATCATCAATCTCATCCTCCAGAATCGTCTTTGTCAGCCATTAAGAAAAACAGATGAAATTAGAGCAAACCAAAAGAAATATAAAAACCGAGAATCATCGGAAATGAGCAACTCTTATGTCTGAAAACAGAAAAGAGGACAATGATGTCAAGCAAAGATATACGTGAAGTATCCCATTCATGTACTTTTCGGTTGTTACTACAACTATGAAACTAAAAGCTACTGAGCAGCTAACAGATGCACAGCTTTGAATAATATTACTATATAAAACAAAAAGGAAAATTACCTAGGCTAACACATTTGAAATTTTGACTCAGTATCCATGATATTAACACATTTTAAACCATCAATTATAAAAGTCTTTGATGCAAACTTTTACATACGGACAAGTTACCATGATATCACCACCAAATATAACTAATAGTGTCTATTTTAAAACACACACTCATTGCAAAATGTTTAACAGATGCATCATTTATGGTAAGTTAGAACAGCGAGAACTGCAACCGGTGACAAACAATAACAATAGAGTGAAATAATAATCTACTAACTACGACCAATTATCTGGCCCTCAAATGTTTACAAATATAACTATTGGCAGCAGCTATGTGCAAATGCTGACAGATTCTATTCATGCTACTGTATGTGAAAATAGCGATCGATTATATGTACACTATGTTAAATGGCAGTGTTTTCTTTGCAATACGTGTAAATAGTAATTAGATGCTATTTATTCTGCAAATAGCGGCAGATATCTACACCTCAGTATTATAGTACATTAAAAAACATGTGACTTTGTGAAACAGACTGTCCTTATCTAAAATGATTATAACCTAATATTAATGCTACAAAGGTAAAAAAAAAAAATAGTCTATTATATATATAGTCTATATTCTATTTCATCTTTTCACATTCGTCTTGAGTCAGGATAGTCCAGTTGAGAGAGGCTCAATAAGTTTTACAACAATTGTGGCAAAGGATTACATTATCAGTGATCATTTCTGTTTCATTCCAGAGATTTATATGCCATTTCTGGCACACGGTCGGGCAGGACACATATGTGAGCCTGGAGCACAAAAGCAGTGTTAAGTCGCTGGGGGATATTTGTAGCAATAGCCAACAATACATTGTATGCCTCAAAATTATAGATTTTTCTTTTATGCCAAAAATCATTAGGATATTAAGTAAAGATCATGTTCCATGAAGATATTTTGTAAATGTCCTACCGTAAATATATCAAAACTTAATTTTTGATTAGTAATATGCATTGCTAAGAACTTAATTTGAACAACTTTAAAGACGATTTTCTCAATATTTTGATTTTTTTTTTTGCACCCTCAGATTCCAGATTTTCAGGATTTGTCCTATCCTAACAAACTATACATAAACGGAAAGCGTATTTATTCAGCTTTCAGTTCATGTATAAATCTCAATTTTGGAAAATTGACCCTTATGACTGGTTTTGAGGTCCAGGGTCCCATATGAGCACCAGAAACGCATGCAGAATTTGACCCTAAAGAGTCACTGGCAATTTATTTGTTTGAAGAAAGTCTTGCCCTTGTTTGGCTCTTACCTGATAGACGGCTTGTTCGCAGTGCTTGTCCTTCACAGCCTTTTTCGGTGACTCCTCCCTCTGTTTGATGTCATAGACGAGGGTGAAAAGGTCACGCAGGTCCAGTATGACTGGCTCTGCCTACGAGAGGACAACTGAGGTTATAGCTTTTAACTGGCATGAGAACAGTCTGAATTCAGCAATATTAAGAGCTATGAACACTAACCGAATGGCTGGTCTTGATTGCAACAAATTTATGGTTGCCTTTTTCCCCGCAGACGTAGCCGAAGGCACGATGGTCCCTTGTGTCTTTGGCAATGTAGGAGATTTCATGCACAGCGTGGTGATGCTGTAAGACCTGAGGATCACATCGTTATGTCAAAAACAGTGACTAGAAGAAGAAACATTTTCATACTATACCCTTTTTTTCAAGAAGTGTGCTTATATTTGAATTTTGGACAGTGTCTGCTTACATCCTTATTGGCAAAACTGCAACAATTAGAGAGAAACAATCAGTTACCAAACGAGTGTAATTAAACTGAAAGGTGATGTAACACCGTTACACCACCATTGCTTTTTTTGAGTGAGTTACAGGCATAGCATAACATAAAACAACTTTTTCAAGTAGTTAAATTAAGAGGGTGTCTACAATAAAACTGAAAACTTTTTTATGCATTTTGGCCATTCATTTTCACAACTACTGGCATTTTTAGCATTGTATGCCTCAAAATTATAGATTTTTCTTTTATGCCAAAAATCATTAGGATATTAAGTAAAGATCATGTTCCATGAAGATATTTTGTAAATGTCCTACCGTAAATATATCAAAACTTAATTTTTGATTAGTAATATGCATTGCTAAGAACTTAATTTGAACAACTTTAAAGACGATTTTCTCAATATTTTGATTTTTTTTTTTGCACCCTCAGATTCCAGATTTTCAGGATTTGTCCTATCCTAACAAACTATACATAAACGGAAAGCGTATTTATTCAGCTTTCAGTTCATGTATAAATCTCAATTTTGGAAAATTGACCCTTATGACTGGTTTTGAGGTCCAGGGTCCCATATGAGCACCAGAAACGCATGCAGAATTTGACCCTAAAGAGTCACTGGCAATTTATTTGTTTGAAGAAAGTCTTGCCCTTGTTTGGCTCTTACCTGATAGACGGCTTGTTCGCAGTGCTTGTCCTTCACAGCCTTTTTCGGTGACTCCTCCCTCTGTTTGATGTCATAGACGAGGGTGAAAAGGTCACGCAGGTCCAGTATGACTGGCTCTGCCTACGAGAGGACAACTGAGGTTATAGCTTTTAACTGGCATGAGAACAGTCTGAATTCAGCAATATTAAGAGCTATGAACACTAACCGAATGGCTGGTCTTGATTGCAACAAATTTATGGTTGCCTTTTTCCCCGCAGACGTAGCCGAAGGCACGATGGTCCCTTGTGTCTTTGGCAATGTAGGAGATTTCATGCACAGCGTGGTGATGCTGTAAGACCTGAGGATCACATCGTTATGTCAAAAACAGTGACTAGAAGAAGAAACATTTTCATACTATACCCTTTTTTTCAAGAAGTGTGCTTATATTTGAATTTTGGACAGTGTCTGCTTACATCCTTATTGGCAAAACTGCAACAATTAGAGAGAAACAATCAGTTACCAAACGAGTGTAATTAAACTGAAAGGTGATGTAACACCGTTACACCACCATTGCTTTTTTTGAGTGAGTTACAGGCATAGCATAACATAAAACAACTTTTTCAAGTAGTTAAATTAAGAGGGTGTCTACAATAAAACTGAAAACTTTTTTATGCATTTTGGCCATTCATTTTCACAACTACTGGCATTTTTAGCACAATTGTTGTCATGTCAATGTACCCTAACATCTTTTGCTGGTGCTGCTGGGCTTTTTAAAAATGACATAAATGTTAAGACGAAACATTCTTAAAGTAATGATGTCTATGGACGATTCTTATAACATTTGATATACGTTCTCATAATGCTGAGAGAGAAAAAAAAGGTTCTTAGAACAACGTTCTTTAATGCTATTTTTATTTGATGGATGTTCCTATAACGTTGAGAGAAATCGTTAGCACATAAAAAATAAATGTTACACTCTGGGTGAAACAATAAGGTTAGTAGAATGCTGTAAGAAACATTTTAGTAACCTTTAAATAACGTTCTAATTACAATAAGAAAACTGGACATTTTAACGTTCTGAGAATATTAAAAATCATGAAGAAGAGCTGCTGTGCTGTAGCGTCAAATGTTTGGCATGTCTAGAACAATTCTTACAAGTACAACACGACGTAGCTGGGCGCCGCGGACAGACGCCGCCGGTGTGCCTACACTCATAGAAAATAATGTATTTTAATTTTAAAGACGTGGCACGATGCTGCGCTTCTCGTCCGGTGCGCGACCGCCTGAAACGCTGTTTTTTTTCACCTCTGTGCACAAACGTCTTTGTTTGGGTTTCCGAAAGCGGATGATGTCAGGAAACAGTGGTTGCAATTTACTTTTTTAACTCTGTTCCTGAGCATTATAACCCCAATTTGCTATTGTGTGCTGCGCATTTTACTGAGGACAGCTTCCACAACACGAGGGGGGACAGTGCAGGATTCGCCAAAAGCTTTTGTTGAAAGACGGAGCAAGGGGCGGGGCAGTACTGAAACACCGTCTAAGCTGTTCGCCAATCACAACGCACTGGGACAGCTAACCAATCACAACACATTTTGTTTTTCGAAAGGTGGACCTTCATCAAAGCCGGAGCTAAGCGAGCCGTTTGTGCCAGGCTGGGGAGAAAGTTATTTTAATAATGTAAATTATGTGAAAAGAATGTGTTTTTCGAACCACCGAGCATGAGAGCATGTTCTAGCACACCCCCAAAACAAAACCAAGACTTTGTAAAAGAGCATAATAGGACCCCTTTAAATATCCTAATCACGACAAGAAAATGTGCGCATTTGAACATTTTGGCAACATTTAAATGTTTTCCAATCAGAGCAGTGTTTCACTGCACAAAGAAGATCCCAGTTAAACAGATTTAGGGTTTACACTAATAAAACTAGAATGCAGAATACACTTACCCCTGATCTCTCATCATAAATCTTGATTCCACCAAAAGACACAGTCAAGAAAATCCTCTGTTTGTGGTTCCCTTTTGACCGCGCTGAAGCAGCAATGCCCTGTAGCATACACAGAGAAGAAATGAGGGAGAGAAGAATTAAAAGCAAGCATGGATGGAAACGTCTGCAGTAAAGGATCCTAATCACGACAAGAAAATGTGCGCATTTGAACATTTTTGGCAACATTTAAATGTTTTCCAATCAGAGCCGTGTTTCACTGCACAACGAAGATCCCAGTTAAACAGATTTAGGGTTTACACTAATACAACTAGAATGCAGAATACACTTACCCCTGATCTCTCATCATAAATCTTGATTCCACCAAAAGACACAGTCAAGAAAATCCTCTGTTTGTGGTTCCCTTTTGACCGCGCTGAAGCAGCAATGCCCTGTAGCATACACAGAGAAGAAATGAGGGAGAGAAGAATTAAAAGCAAGCATGGATGGAAACGTCTGCAGTAAAGGTACATTTTCACTATAATATGTTGGCATTGTTTGCATAGAGGATGTTTGCACAGCTGTTCTCATTTGTAAGGCCACTTGTGATACTCTTTAGCACTTCTAAATGTGAAAGATGTGTCTAGTTTTGATAATTTTCTCAGACTTCTGAAGACAAAAAAGAATGCTGAGTCAAGTCTTTCTCATTTTCTTAGCCTTTTGTTCTATGATGAAATTCTAAGCATGGTCACTTGAAGCAGGTTTGTAAACTTAACATCTTTCTCAAGGCAATACTGAATATCTTAACTACAATATACACATGCAATGCATTCGGAAAGTGTTCAGACCCCTTAATGAATGTATTTATTTTTTGCTACATGAAACAAATAAAGGAGGCTGAATGCTTTCTGAATGCACTGTGGGTGGCTTCCAATACCAGTGGTCTTGCTTACTCTTAATGAGTTGTCAAATCCTATTTCTACACTGAAATGCAAGACATTCAATATTAGAAATCCATGGCTTTGTAATTCATGGAAACCATCCCTCTTTCAACCAAAACAAGATAAAACCGCACTGAAGAATTAAAAATGAAAATCAATCTGGCGATCTGAAACTACATTTACTGTACATGAAATTTTGAAACATATGTATTTTGTCCCATGTGTTGTCACAATAACAAACTTCTAGCTGAAATGTTCGATTCCACATTAAAACTAATTTTTTGTAACTAATGGACTTGTTTTGTTTGCATAACTGCTTCATTTAACCATTTTAAAGTGAAAAATACTAATAAATAATACATTAAAACAATAACATGTACCGTTCAAGTAAGCAATTGCATATTAAAGCTACTAAATCCAGACAAAAGCAGTAAGCGATTTTATCTTTTATTATTAATGATATAGATATCAGCAGGGAGTAGAAAACATGCTTCACAACTAAACTGCAAATACGATTCTTACAGTGAACACTGAATAATTCTCACTTCCTTTAAACTCACTTGAGTTGATGTTTCTCTAATAAAAATAAGATTAAGAATCTTATCCCATGTTAAATAAGTAATCGACTGATTATTTGTGTTATCTAGGTAACATTTTAGATTAGGGAACACTATTCACTATTAACTAGTAGCTTATTGTTTATTGCATATTGACTGTTTATTAGTACTTGTAAAGCACATATTAATATCTTATTCTGCATGACCATATTCTAGAATATATGAAGAATTTATTTGCAAAAATAGATAACTTTTAAAAAATTTATTTAAAAAAAAAAGTTTTTTTTTATGTTTATCCTAATGATGTTTGGCATAAAAGAAAAATCAATAATTTTGACCCATACAATATATTGTTGGCTATTGCTACAAATAGCAGCACTGAAACTAAAACGCATCAGTTAAACATGAGATAAAACGTACAGGTGAATGTCATGAAGAAACGGCCAGTCATATCTCTGCTATGAATAAAAACAGCAAATGTAGCTTATTTTAGACCCATTAAGATCTTTATGTTGTTTTCTAACAAGAAATGATTTAAGCCTGTGTTTCATTATAAAGCTTTGACTGTGTTCTGGTTTGAAAACTGAAATTGCTCTGCTGAAAGCCACTGCTTCACTCAATATTTTTGGTCTATTCTCAGATGACAGCGTAAGCCTTCTGGATGTGTTGAAATGAAAGTAGCTCAGTGAATCTCCTCGAGGAGCATGTGTGAGCCAGCAAATGTTCAGCAGCTCTGTGAGAGCAGGACAGATGGCAGCATATGGGGAGGAGGACGAGCGTCTCCCGACGCATCAATCTGTCAAGAGCCTGTTCAGATTTTGGAGACCTGACACAGAAACTCATTGACCTTTCAACCCCGAGAGACAAATGACCAGATACACCTCATATTTAATGCAGAACAGACAGTATGGTTTATTACGACTCAGACAGCAGAAACTTTGTCAAAATCAATGTTTTAGTCTTTGAGAAATTATGTTTTTAAACTGACACTAAAAAACTGAACTAGTAGAAAAAAAGAAGAAAAAAAGAAAAAGACACACAATACATAGTTATAGGAGTTATAGCAATTTCTAATGTCTGATGTATTTTGCTGCTTACACACATTTTCAAAACTTCAGATCCGAGAATTGCACACACACACACAATGCAAAATGCCTCACATCTCTTGCAAAATGAAGCACTGCATTAAAAAAAAATCACATCTCAAAAGCAAACATTTGCAAACACCTCTGCCATAATATTAAATCCTCTTAGATTTGTGTGTGTTACATAGAGAATTGTGTGTTGTGTGTTTTGCAAAAGTCAAAGGCTGAGAATTAGCGTATGGTTTTGGTGTGTGCTTCTGCTGTTTGAGTGCCAGCTTTCAGAAACTGTGTGACAAGGACAGATTTTGTGTGTAAGCAGCTGAAAAAAAAAACGTAATACAGCTTTGTGAGTCTGAGATGAATTCTATAGGAACATTAATGTTAATCAAAATTAGCCATTATACCACTAATTGTAACACGGGAAGAAGGAATGCAGGAGAAGATGAGGATCTAAGTGTAAGGGCTTTATTAAAAGTCCAAATGAAACACGGAGAACAGGAAGGCAGATGAAACTAGCAGCAAACATTGATTGAAAGGAGCTAACAAGCTTAACAAGATAACAACACACACCTGGGGAGACTAATCAAGGGGGAACCAATGAAAAAACGGACAACAAACTGACTACAAAAGACACAGGAAACGACATTAAAGTCCAGCACATGTAACACTAATGCAGTCATTGATCTTGCAGGCAAAGATCAATCAGTCAATCAATAAATGGGAGATTCTGATTTAATAAAAGGAGGACATCTGCTCAGGATGAAGAGGTCACCAACTGACCATGGACTGGTGGTTGAATAAATAAATATTAATTGGTTCCATAAATAAATATTCATTCATGATATCCACTAACTGGTGCCCTTTGCTTTATTAATTATTTCTATAGATTTATAATATATTTAATTTCTATAGTTTTTCATTTGTTTATATTTATTTATAAAGTGATTTACAGAAAACACACAAATGTCTTGTAATAATATAAACCGTAAAATAAAAGAATAGAATCAAATAGAATAATTGTATGTATTTTCTTTGCATGGAAAAGAGCAGCGTGAATATTCTGCCCAATATCTTGTTTTGTGGTTGTGATTTACAGGGAGCTTTGGATACAGTTTGTTAAAATAATAACTATATTTTATTTTTGTATTATATAAATTAGATACCTTTTTAAAAGGACATATACCGTATGTATATGTGTATGTGAAAATCATCTGCTTTTTTGTACGGTGCATCAATTTATGATGACATCAAAAATGACATTTTTCACTCATTTTT